GTAGGCCAAGCTCGGCGGTGTACATACGGTGTATGTAAATGTAAATCACTCACTTTTTTCTTAGGTAAAAATTCACACTGCCCTAAACGATTTAGATGTTCCATCATTTCAATAAGCGGTGTATAAAGTTCAAGTGAACAGTTTGGAGTGTAAGTTCGGAATGAATAAATTTCGCACCAGGCGGTAGAGATAATGTACAGCAAAAAAAAAAAATGTGGTTAGACGCAATAACATCTCTCTAGATAAACAAATCTCAAATAACAACTGTTGATAAAATTAAAAAAAATAAAATTATCAAAAGGAAAATTCGAGAAACAATAAAAATTACTCACAGTATAAAAAATAAATCGATCCTAAGTGTTCCCAACACATCCCAATGGTTGGTAAACCATGTTCTCCACAATCTCAATCATAGCTAGCGTCATTATATTTAAATTTTTCTGTTTAATTTTATAAAAAATTCCTAAATCTAGTACTTACACCACTCAATCATAGGTGGCGCCATTGTATTTAAATTTTTCTATTTAATTTTCTAAAAATCCCTAGATCTCTAGTTACTTTTAATACCAACCTAATTTTTTTCCCCCAAACTTTGGTTGGTATCCCCCCTATACCTAATACATTGAGGCGTGACGTCACCGCAGGATTGGCAGGATTAACTTCCGGTCTAGAACCGGCATTCTTACACTACTCTTACGATTTGTTCAGTAACTCTCCATAATACTCTCTTTATCTTTTCATAATTTCATTTTCCTCCCTCAGTATTTCGTCCTTACTATCTTTAACACTACAATTTGTGTCTTTTCTGTTCTTAAGGATTTCAGTAGTCGATACATATTGACGCTTAGAATGTATTCATTTATGTGTATTTCCGATATACCTTAAAGGTAATTTCAACCTTATTATTGAAATAATTTAATAATAATTGATGCATTATTTCAGTTAATAACTGTAAAACCACAATACTAATACCTATCTAAACGTAATTATTGTAGAACGGAGTGGTCCATAACTAGATAAGTAGAACCATCGTGGTGTTTGTAGGTAGAGAATGGAGTGGGGAGTATTCATACTGTGATATAACCATTACGGTCGCCGTCGAGAATAGGCATATTAGCGCAAATGCTTTGGACCTTAACCAGTATGTGTATCGGGGAAGCTAATGCGACCTACACACACACTACCATTCCGGAGCAAGGATTACTGGGAAATTAGCGGTTTTGGTCTGTCCTGGTGGATCGCGTTATCATACAGTGAGAGCACGACTTAGCTTATAAGCCGATTATTTAATAACATAAATTAGTTAATTTTTTTTCGATAGTTGATGAATCAAAATTGATTTAAATATTATAACAAAAAAGATTTGGTTTCATTCTTTGCAGTTTCTTACATGAATGTTTGAATGTATAGTTACAATAGATTAGATTTAATCGTATGAAACTTGAGTGACGTTAATGTATTAGTATACCAAGGTGGTAAGAAAGCGGGTTTAACCTCGTCAAAAATAGCCTTTGATCCCGGCCGGATTAAACACAACAAAAGTGATCCTCCCCATTGTACGATCATTCTTCGGCATCAACGCTATTGTTAATAATAAGGAATATGGTTTTGGGAGTACGTTTTAAAATATTTGAAAAAAATTTTTTTTTTCATTAATTAATTAATTGATATTTAGTATTGTTTTGAGGTGTTAAATTACATTCGATCCACTCAGTTTACTTCAAGACCAACAACGTCTGTTTATTGTAAATTTAAAACTTTGTAATTAAGTAAGCAGAAATTTAATCATTCACTTATAACTTTTATAATTTAAGTTTAACTAACATTTATAATGTAAGATTTTTTATATTTCTATGTTAAGCGAATCATCAGTGTGGAAAGTAAAAAGAAAAATTTAGCCAATCCTGTACCGGCTTAGTTATATATAACACAAAAGCGTATATTTTAAAGGAACCTCTCATATCCTAGGTAATCTGGGTACATTACGCTAAAAAGCTTCCATCGTAAACAAGAATGCACGTCTGGTTTTCCAAATAATCAATATTTTTTATCCGTTTTTTCCTGGAAATCATCTCTAGATTTACTCTCACCTCACCTTTTTAGGTATAAAACTAAATGTTATTTAGTGTTCAAGGATTGTCCAAGAAAATAAGGAACAACAATCAACCTCGATTATTGTTATCGTTATTATTGAATAAAAGTACACTGACCGGCAAAAAAACCGGCCACCAAAATGTAGCCACAATTTCAAAGCTGGCTTACTCGCGAACCACTCATTCGATTTTGATGATTCTTTTTTTGATCGAAACGTTGATTCTTCTGTAATAATCCTGAGATAGAAATTTTTATTCGGATATTAATTTGAGCATATACGGGGTGCAAGAATGAGAAAACCTTTTTTTTCCGAAATTTGTAATACCCTATGGGGTGCAGCTGCTACAGCAGAGGGTGTTAACTGGAATCAAATGGTAGCCCAATCTATTCTGAGCATTTTGTTTTTTTATTCACTCTATTATCTCTGTTACTAACGAAGATGCAGTATTTTCAAGCGATCGCCTGTGAAAACAAGACGAGTGACAATAGTAGCTGATGACCGTTTTATTGTTCTAAGCAATCGTAGAACGCCAGCTGTAGAAGCTCGGTGTCGTCTTCAAATGGTGCATGTCGTTGATGTCAGTGAGCAATTGCGGTAAACTCTTCTTCAAAAGCAATTTGTAACTCTTGAAGATTGTCCGGTAGGACAGGACGACGACGAATGCGTCTCTCAAGTTGGTCCCAAAGATATTCGATAGGGTTAAGGTCCGGGCTGCACGCGAGCCACTCTATCCGTTCAATACCCTACTTCATCAAGATATTCGTTAACCACACGTGCTACGTGCGGTCGCGCATTGTCATGCATTAGCATGAATCCGTCACCAATAAAATGGGAATAGAACCTCCATGGAAAGGTACTCTTTCCGAAATGGTGCAGGTCGCAAACCTTTCATTACGACCGGAGTTGTTCCATTCCCTAATTCATACGTACGCGCCCAAATTGAAGACGTGCTCGCCGATGTCTCTGGAGCAGCCGAGGTCTTTTGGCAGGTCTTCTTGCAGTCAGATCACTTTTATCAAGTCTTCGATGAATAGTTCTTTCACTTACGCCAACCCCACGCACCATCTGAAGAGGATGCCGAGTTTCTATAGCTGTCGTTCTAAAATTCCTCAGAGTGTTTAGAACAATATCGGTCATCACCTGCTGTTGTCACTCGTCTTGTACCGAAACCTTGCCGCCTAGTGAAATTTCTTGTTTCCACATATTGGTTCCAGGCATCCTGAACTGTTGTTCAGGGTACACCCAACGTATGGGCAACGTATTGCTGACTTTTGCCATCCTCAATTAAAGTAACAATAGCCGCAACATCAGTTACTGACAACGGGATTGCTATTATGTTAAAAGACTGTAAAAATGTTTAACAACTGTCAATTTACTATTCGAAACAAATGACATACGCTACCTAGCGCGCCACCTTAGCTTTTTTTATGCTTGTTTGTCTTGTTTTTACAGGCGTTCGCTTTAAAACACTGCATCTTCGTTAGTAATAAAGATAATAGAGTGAATAAAAAAACAAGATGTTCAGAAAAGATTGGGCTACCGTGTGATTCCAGTTAACACTATCTGCTGTAGCAGTTGCACCCCACAGGGTATTACAAATTTCGAGAAACAAAAGTTTTTCTCATTCTTGCAACCCGTATATGCTCAAATTAAAATCTAAATGAAAATTTCTATCGCAGGATTATTACCGAAGAATCAACCTTTCGATCAAAAGAACAATCATCAAAATCGAATGCGCGGTTCGCGAGAAAGCCAGCTTTGAAGTTTTGGCTAATTTATAGTGGCCGTTTTTTTTGCCGGTCAGTTTATATTAACAAAGCATATACTAAGTAAAGTCTATTGCATACATCCCCATTAAAAATCTGTACATTATAAAGGCTGCCTAATTCCGTGCTGGTAGTGCGCTAGCTAACCCGTAAAAGTAGCGGCTAGTAGCGGCGTGTTTGCCTCAATAAATATAAAATTTTAATTTTGCAAAACCGGTTAGGACCGGTTATATATAAAGATCTGCGTTAGTTTCGGCTTTATTAAAATGCATTTTACATTGGGATTTCCGTTACCTCTAAAACAACCCCTCATAACACTCTCTGCAATGTTGCGGAAACAATTTTTTTTATAACTTAGCTAAAATTAACTCACTATTCAATTAAGTACCCAATTGTGTTAATGTTAAATTTAAAAATCAAACATAATAAGAATCATGATATGATATGTATGTTAAAATGAAGCTTAAATATTTTAGTTTATGATATAAGAGTTACAAGATAATATTATTGAAATTTCCAGAAAAAATTTGATTTAATCCCCGAAAAGCTATTATTTTAGTTGAGTACCTAATAATACAAAACGATGTGCAATCGACGTAAAAGCTAACAACAAATTCGGTAAAATCGTTGTCCCACGGTAATGGTTGGCGAAGGGGCTTTTCCGGAACGAGCACGGCTGCGATGTTCAAATATAAAATAGAGAGACGATAAACTGTAACGTTAACGTAACATAATGGGAACCTACGTCCACGTGAAGTGGGTGTTACACAAAAAAATAAAAGATTATCGATCTTTATTTTTCATTACATTTCAGTATGTTATTAAAAAAATTAAAAGAAATTAAATTATTTAATATTATTTTAAAAAATAATTAAAATTAAAGAATTAGTTTACTACTTGGTAATTAGATGGCTCTAAATTAATTGAAATTTTAATCATTACTTATAAGCGGCATCTTTTAGTCAATAGCATAACTAATAATAAAAAGTTTCAAATTGTAATTAATAAAATAAAATTTTTCATCAATTTAAAAAATGTGTTAAAATTATAACATAAAATGAAATAAAGCAATTTTTAGCATAAATTTTTAATTTAAACTATTTTACGTCTTCCCCCCCAAAACCAGTTCTTCCTAAGCGTTTCGTGCGCTGAATCCTCGCTTGGTTCTGTGACTCAGCTCAGAAGAAAACTTAAATGTGACTTAAGAGTACAAGGCCTCACGTGCACAAAGTAGAACGTAGAAAGTGAATTTCCAATTTCATTTGTAGCAATATACGTTGATTTTAACCCTTGTGTGAAGTTCTTTTTTATTTCTTAAAATGGGGTACGCACAACTTGATGGGTGTGGTAATTGTGTGAAATACGCAATGTTTGTTACCAATTTAATAATTTTTGTATGTATTCATACCAAAAAATTGTTTTATTAAATGTTTTAAAATGTTTATTTTTTTTTATTACAGCTTGGTGGGTTAGTTCTTGTAGCTTTAGGAATATGGTCAATAACTGATAAAGCTTTTGCAAATCAACTCTTGGGAACAAATTTATACTCAGGATCTATCTACATCATGTTAACAATGGGAATAATAGTTTGTTTTATTTCCTTTTTGGGATATTTTGGCTCTATTAAAGAAATTAGATGTCTTCTTGTTGCTGTATGTAACAACAATAATTCATCAACATCAAATTAATTTTTTATTTTTAGTATTTCATTTGCGTTTTTTTAATATTTGTAACAATGCTTATTGGAGGAATTTTGGGATATGTGTTTAGAGGAAAAATTGAGACCACCTTAGAAAATGCTATGTTAGCCTCATTAAAACATTATGGAAATAACCGGGCAGTTACCGATGCTTGGGATGAAACTCAAACTAGACTGCAATGTTGTGGAGTCAATTCATACCGCGATTGGGATTTCAAAACTCCCGATACATGTTGCAGGGAGACCGCTCCTGGTGTAAGACAATCATGTCAAGATGTTACCCAACATAGCCCAATAATTATGTATACCAACGGTTGTTTGAATATCACTAAGAAATTGGTTAAAGAACATGCGGTTATTATTGGAAGTGCTGGAATAATTGTCGCTTGTATATTGGTAAGTAAAAATTAATTTTAAATTGATTTTATGATTATTTATGTTTATTTTTTAGATTTTGGGAATGATTTTTTCGTGTGCTTTATACAAGAAGATTGATGAGTAAAAAGAATGAGTAGTTATGTACAAAGAGGAGTTACTATATTTGTTTCTGAATATTTTAAGTACAAAATTTATTTTTATATAATCTTTTTAAATTAATAAACTCAACATTTAAATGTCTCCATGTTTATTCCCGCCATCTGTTGACGTTACTACCAAATTTTTCTTTACCGTCAATTACTTTAATATCCTAAATTAATTCAATCAATTTAAGGTAATCATTAATTAATTATTTAAGTTAACGTTTATTACATTTATTATTAAAACAATATCTTATATTTTCAAAAAATTTATTTTTTAATGTTGGTATTTCGCGTTTTGACAATCATCTGTCAAAGAAACGTCAAATAATTGCTCAATATTCTCAATAAGAAAAGACATGGTGGTGGAATCTCTAATGGAATATAATAGATCTGCGTAAATAAAACGGAATCTTAAAAATAATTTCGTCCCTTAAAATAATGTACACCGTGTATGTAGTAAAATTAAATAGTTTCTAATGAACGTGGGCCTGATGTCCAACTCGGTAAATGACTTGCAAAGTACCCCACCATCGTACTATAATTTGTATGGGGGCCCTTCAACAGCTATCTCCCAAGATTTGGGAGAACCACCAACTTACGAAGAAGCTATCGATCCAAACGGTAAGAATAAAAATTTTCAAAAATTTAATCAATGGTAAATAAACATAAGATGAAAGAGAATGACGCAAATTCGAAGAATATACTGTAAATAATTGATATTAATTTATGTCTTGCTATTAGGACCTCCACCTTCGTACGATTCATTATTTGGTAGAGTAAGAGAAGCAAGAAAGACAAGTAAAGGAGTTTTTGATTTTCTAAAAAATGTGGTAATAATTTTATTGGGTGCAGGTATTAAAAATATATTTTGTGTATTTCTTTCATTAATTTATTATTTTTTATAGTTGGTTGTACCGTTATATTAGGGGTAACTATAATTGTACCGATTTGTATGATCGTAATGGGTCTGATTTATTTACACGAGTGTCCCCAAGGCGAATACATTCCAGTTTATTTATTAGTTGGTGGTAAGTAAATAAAAAAAAAATAAATACAGGGTGTCTCAGCGAGACCGGTCATTAGACGTTTCTGGGGTTCTGGCCAAACAAAAAATTTGAGAATACAGACTTCAGAACATGCTTAAACAAGATGATGGAGTATGTTTTGGTGCCGAGAACGGCTTTCTAGATCGTTTGGTCATTTTACTATGATACGTTAACTTTTCGAAATTTGGAAGCACCATAACTTCATTTTTTAAATGGCACCCCCCATATTTCATTACTTAGTCGTCTTCGGCGTCTCATTTTACATCTTTTATATTCCATATGTCCTATGCCTAACATTAATAGTTTGAGCAATAATTAGGGTTTTTTGAAAAATGCTCACATATCATATGGATATTAACCTAGTGTGCCATGGAAAACAAATGTTTAATGACTTATTGATGAAACGTCAAAGTCTAATTAGGTTGTTTGATGCTTGTGAGTCTAAAACCAGTTAATATGGATATTAATAACGTAAATAATGTTTATACAAATGAAGAAATCCATAATTTATTTTTTGTGCACGAAAAGTGCGACAAAGTTCTTAGTAGAACTTGCAGAATGTTTAATGAAAATTATCCACATTTATCTCCGATGACAAAAGGTAAATTTAGAGGAATAGAAGCAAATTTTTTGCATTTTGGACGAATTAATCACGTGTTAAACTGACCAAAAAATGTAGTAGATAATGCAACGGAAGAGGTGAATACCTTGGCTTATTTCGAGCCCAGTCCCAACACCTCAATTCGAGCTGCCAAAGAAGATCTGGGAATCATACTAAGAACTTTGTCGCGCTTTTCATGCAAAAAAAATAAATTAAGAATTTCTTGATTTGTGTAAATATTACTTTCGTTATTGTTATCGATTTTAACTCTTTTCAGTACTAATATTAAGGGACATAACAGATAATTATT